ATGCCGAGTGGCGACTATTGTTGCCGAGTCAATCAATTCATTACAGAGCCCCCTGTGGCGTCGGAGAGCGATGAATGGTTGGCAGCTCCCGCGGGGGGAGTTTGACGGCATGATCGGACAGGTGGTGTCACGTCTTGAACAGCCCAGTTTTTACAGATCGAGAACTTGTCAGTCGCCGCACGGACGCCGTCCGAGATGGCTCGACCGCGCGCTAGACAAAGGTATGCTTTGCACACCAACAATAATATTTTGGAATACTTTATGTTTGATTTCATAAGCAGCAGCTATAGAATTGTCAACAGCACATCAACGTTTGAATTTGTATCATTAACTGATAAAAAATGAGTTCAAAATTGCGAGTGGCAGCTAAAGTTGCCACTCGGCACACAGAGTCAAGATATTTGGTCTTCCGTATGTTTCGCTCAATGTTTTACAACTTAGTCATGCATATGTCATTGTGGTTTGTGATCGCTGACACAACGCCCTCATTTTTGCGAATTCCACATTCCTTTTGCAGAACTTTATTCTTTTAGCATAACTTTGAGTGATATCGAGCATGTAGGCATATGAAATAAAGCATCATGGTAATATGTTCTGATGTCAAATTCGCACTGATCTTTAAAATACTGATTTGAAGTTGATGAATGGTTTTATCGTCTTTTAGGTTAAAGCTATGCATTTTTGATAACGTGTGACAGTGGCAGCCAAGGCTCACAGGGGTATAGGGCCTAGGGCCAAACGACTAAGATCCTTGGATGCTTTTCTATTCTCCGGATGTGCCCTCTTCCCGTATTTTGTGGATTTGCGTTTTCGCACCAAAACATATGGCGTCACCCCTGCTCTGAGGTGAAAATTCAATCATTACTTGCTAAACAATATGACATAAACTGATGCATGATTTGAAATCTATGTCCTGTTTCAGCCTGACGATGAATCAGATTTTGGACATCTTAGAAGAGCAAGACCAAGACGATGTTGGAGCTGACGACAGATACCTGGTGGTCCTTCAGCATCCAGCTGAACTTGCAGACGCGGAAACGGACCAGAACTCAGACGTCAGTGATGATGAATCGACTTCCGACCCGAACCACCTCCCCGAAGACTTCCCACGGCCGAGGCTGAGCTGGCAGGACCACAACGTGTTGCTGTCGAGTGCGGAACGCCTGAAGAAGCTGTTGCATATCCAGCAGCTTATCAACAGCCAGAGCCGTCGACTAACAGAACCGAGGATGCATCAAGACCTGTAAAACTCCCAAAATCACTTCCGAGAAAGTGGACAACCAGCTCGCGCTGATTAGGCCAAAATGTGCCACAGTTCCAGGGCACGGTGACTTTCATGTAAGTAGGCGCCCTGAAAAACACAGTCGAAACCCCGTCCCAGTGCTTCGAACTCTTCGTAACCGAGGAACTCGTTAATCACCTTGTGGAACAGAGCAGAATTTATGCGACTCAAAAGGGCCTGGGCACTTCCGTCATCACTGCCTCCAACATCAGGGCTGTTCTGACGACCATGATGCTCTCTGGGTACGCCAGTGTTCCAAACAGGAGACTGTACTGGCGCCGCGATGGCGACGTCTTCACCTCCCTGGTCGCGCAGGATATGGAGCGGGATGCATTCAAAAATCTCCTTTGTGTGATTCACCTTGCGGACAACTCAAAGGTGGACAGCCACAGTTCGGACCCATGCTATAAAGTTCGACCTATTTTCGACCTTGCCAGCAAGAACAATAAACTGCTACCAGCTCCAGAGAAGCTCTCCATCGACGAGTGTATGGTGCCCTTCTACGGAGATCATCCCACCAAACAGTTTGTTAGGGCAAGCCCATGAGGTTCGGCTTCAAGCTGTGGGGCATTTGCACAGTAGACGGCTTCCTGCTCCACGCAGAACCGTGCTGTGGCTCAGCGAGGCAGCTGCAGAGCACGGGCTGTGGCCAAGGACCTGATGTCGTCTTGGGACTCAGTGAAAAGTGTGGGTTACGGCCAGGTCACCATGTGACATTCGACAACTTCTCCTTCCTACCTCTGCTGGGGCAGCTGTCAGCTGCAGGCTTCGGTGGAACAGGTACGATCCGATAAAATCGGGTGCCGAAGGACGCGACCTTGGTCTCAAGCGCTGTGACCGTATTATGCACATTTTTACATTATACACCAGCATAGACATTATACACCTTATACATTATGCATTTATACATATGCATATACATACATTACATATGCATTATACACAACATTTACATTATACACCACATTATACACACTCCATAGACTTTTTAAAGGTCAGAATAGGACACTGACCTAGAATGACCTAGGGTGACATTCTGTTTTGGGAACGTACTGCCTAGCGTAATCTTTGTCGCTTATCCAAATGCAAAACTCAAAGCGGTCTTGTATGATTTCGATCACCATGACCTTAAAAAGGTCAAACGAGGTCAATGACCTTTAGATGAGCATGTGAATTTTTGCTTAGAACAGCTATCTAGGTTCCAGAGTCCCTTTAAAAATTAGCCTGGAATTTGACCTTGTTTGACATTATTTGACACTAAGGTCATAACCTAAGAACCTCAAACTTTGACCTAAGTGAGTTCACGTACAGATCAACACACCCTGTAAATTTGGTGTATTTGGCTCTCTTAGTTGCTTAGATGTCAGGGGGTCAAATTGACCCCCACCCAAGCGAAGGGTATCCAACCGGCCACCCGGGAGCGTGTTAACATTTTTGACCCTTACATGCCCCTCAAATCTGTCCCACAACCCGGCCAAAAGCCCGTGGGCTCTTGCCGGCTCAAATCTAGCGGCTTGATGGGTTGACAAAATCACGTATCCAGTGCCAGCCCAAAATGGGCAACGGCCCTGGCCTCCAAATGAGCAGAAGCCGCTCAATTATTGTTCACCAATTCCAAGCGTGCCACGCACCACAAACCTCCGCCATACGTGACCAGGCTGCGTGCCGTAGCGCCACTCGTTTTTACACGCACCGTTTCCCGCCGCCGTCAAACCGCGGCGGCACTCGGACTCTGACGTCACAGCTGACCGCCGCCGGCGCCATTCTTGCCGGCGCCCAGGCCGGTAGGCAAGCCTGGGGCCAGATGGTGTGCCAGTTACGGACCAATCATGTGCCGACCCAGGCGGGTCCCGGGAAGGGTGTCAGCTGATGCGATCTCGGGACGGTCGGACGGCACAAGGCATGCGCGCCAACAATCCCACGTGGCCCAGGTCTGTGGGTACTTGTTGACCATTCCCAAGTGTCGCCGGCCACGTGGATCAGTGCTCTGCGGCCATCACGGAGTTTCCCGCCAAGTTCCACAGAGCACGGATAAATTGTCTAGCAAAGAGCGGAAAATAATGGGCCTTAAAGTGCAATGTTAATCACATTAAGTCCAGGGTATCTGCGTTGTTGCCAGCTCGGCGCTGTTCTAGACCGTAGCACCACGGGGTTCTACAAATAGAGGCGACATTCACCTGGTACTTTGCTGAGGACGTCAAGTCACGACCTAAACTTACATAAACTTCGTTTTCCTTTCAGAATCTGCTGAAATGGACACTTATCATTTAACGGAAGCATGTTATATGTATCTGACACGGTTAAGGGGGCATTTTTGAAGCTCGGAGAAACGGAATACGCACTGCGGAGAGTACTTCTATCATGCATTCAACTTCCGCATCAATCATGTTCAGGGTATACTTTGCGGAAAACGGTGACAGAAAAGCTATCGGCAAAAAGCGGATATTAAATAAATCAGGCGAGTCAAATGCAACGTATTGTAGTTGGTGACTCCCCTTGAATTGCGCTATTTTTGCGTTTGATTGGGAACCAGATGTTGTGCAGTCAAACCCCAATACTGCGACTTCCAACGGCCAGCGAGCATCATGCAACAGTATTTACGACAGCGCAGGGAGGTGGCACTTCGGTGGTCACAGAAGTCCGAAGTGAATAAATGGTGCCAGCTGGGTTATCCATTTGCTTGTCACACTGGTTCAAAGGACGCCCACAGAATTGCTAGATTTGGATGAATTTGCTTGCAAAAAGCTGTGAAAACGCAATTAACTACATGGAGCTCAGTACGTAAAGCCCGTTCACCTATTCATTGCACTTGAAACAAAAAATAATGGCGTAGGTAATCCAGTAATGGGCTTCGAGGTTTTCATTTTTTCAGTCACCTGTAGGATCAACGAGTAAGATAATTGAAGAAACAATTATCGGTAATGTGTAAAGCTTTACGATGCGTGTGGCAAGGAAGTATTTTAAGGGTTGTCGCGTAAATTCCAACTAAGTGAATGCATCGGTGTACAGAAAAAGAGCACCTGCTGCAGCGGTGTGGAGTGAGCAGTACACTCCGTGAGCGGTGCTGGCACACGAGCAGCAGTGGGACATATCGTTGAAGCTGAGAGCTGAAGCTGCCGGCGTCAGCAGCGTCTCTGACGCGCCGGCGGGCAGTGGGTGGCTAGTCCAGCTCTGGTGGCCGGCCGGCACCCCTGAGTGGCGCTGGAGTCCTGCGTCCCTGGCCGTAACCGGCGAGGACACTCGCGCACCGAAACCGTGCCGCCCAAGCATGAACACGGAGAGCCAACCGGAGGCAACAGCGTGCGAAATCCCGATTCGTTGTGAGCCCGCGGCGCGGCAACTTGGCAGCCAAGCACCGGACAGCACCGATCCAGCAGGGAGCCGACAGTCACAGCCGGAAGTCGGCGGCTGGCGGCGGCGCGGCAGCACGGCAGCCAAGGACTGCACCGATCCAGCAAGGAGCCGACAGTCATAGCCGGAGGCCGGCGGCTGGCGGCGGCATGGCAGCACGGCAGCCAAGCTCCGGACAGGACCGATCGAGCCGGGAGCCGACTGTCACAGCCGGAAGCGGCGGCTGGCGGCGGCGCGGTCGGCTGTTTCGCCGGCCGGGGCCGCGTGCACGCGCCGCGACGCGCCGCCGGCCGAGCACCGTTACCTGGCCAGTGAGTGGGTCGGCCGGGCGGCGTCCGGCTGCAGACAGCACGGCAGCGGCCCGGCCATGGGTACATCGTCACCGCTGCCCCCGCCGCCGCCTCTGCCGTCGCTGTTGCGACTGCTGCTGCTGCTGGAGCTCTTGCTGGCTGCAACGGCATGGTCAGGTGAGGTGCTGAGCTCCGCCGCCACTGTTACCGCTGATGCCGTTATCTGTGTTGCCGGCTGTCTCGACGGAGTCTTGTGTGGCCCTAACTGAATAGCGATCTGGAAACTGGACGTAGGTTGTACAGTGACAGCCGATAAGTCAAGGCGTTACGCCTGCACTTGTTTTGTTCCTTCTCGTTAATTGTTTGTCTCTCGCCCATTCTTCCACATTTAAAGGCATACAGCCTTCCTATCTACGCTTCAGATACTGCAGTGTGTTATTTGTGGCGAAAATGGACTGTCCAACTGGCTCTCACACAGGAAATGTGGACACATTTGTCGCCCAGGCTAACATCGCGACTCTCGTGCAAGGCGTCCGCTGACCGTTGTGGCGCCCTGTGCTCTGCAGCGGAGATATGCAAGCCAGTGGATGGCCAGTGCGAGGGTCCGCCTCTGCCAGGCACCTTCTTCATCTCTCGTAACAACACACAAGTACTGGCTGCCCTCGGAGATGACGTCCGCCTGCCTTGTCAGATTCGAGGGGCCATGACGCACAAGGTCAGTACTGGCTGCCCTCGGAGATGATGTCCGCCTGGCGTGTCAGATTCGAGGGGCCATGACGCACAAGGTCAGTACTGGCTGCCCTCGGAGATGATGTCCGCCTCCCGTGTCAGATTTGAGAGGCCATGACGCACAAGGTCAGTTGCGAGGACCGTTTGCCTATTGGTTTGATATTCAGCCGGATGCTCCCACTGCAGCGACCAATTCTGGGCCCGTTTTTAAGTGGCGTGTAGTGGATTACTCATGTGGCGAATCTGGTAAGCGCTGTAGGAAGGATTACCACCATCATTGGAATGCACCTCACAAACGAAACGAAGTTTAAAATCACAGTACCTATACAATACCTGTAAGTCAACCGCAGTGACATGGAGACTGCTGAAATCTGACGAAACGAACGCGATTGGCGTGTATATGCTGCCACTAGTGGCTTAACTCGTTTCGAAACGCTCCCTTATCACCTGCAGCTCATATAAAGCCCGTATTTGCTAATGACGTGTGTTATGCGTGGTCCGGTTACAAATTTCATTGCGTACTGTTTCGCGCTGTTGCCGCTCGCTAGCCACCTCTGAGCGTCCGGCAGTCTGCACGTCTCTTTCAGCAGAATCAGCCCAACTGATGGTCGCATTTTCCACTGCTGACCGATCAAACCGGCCGGGTAATTTTGATGGCGCGCATGAAGAACGCACGATGCAGTAATGACAAAATACGGGCGTAATAATGGAGGGCATGTCATTCAGTGCGTTGGCTTCGTCGTTAGCCGCGCTAGTTCGTCCTGGACGCGTAATAATGGAGGGCACGTCACTCAGTGCGTTGGCTTCGTCGGTAGCCGCGCTAGTTTGTCCTGAACAGCCTGGCTGCCATGTTTGCCTGCATTGGTGGAAAATCACTGGTTAGGCTGAAAGGGGATCCTACATAGTGTTATGGAGTGCGTCGGCTAAATGCGGCATTTTGCAGGGTATGTTTCATTTTAAATAGTGTTCATGCGACTGCCCACACACCCCGTAAGGTTTTTGAGGATATCTCCCCGGCATGTCGCGCGCCCAGATTTTTGGTGGCCTCCGGGACATTCATTGTCCGTATTTTGACACAAAAAGGCACCTTTAACATTTCGTATTCCTGAAAAGTGACGGTTTGTCAGAAACAACGCATGGCGATCCATGGCTTGGGAGGTCGGCGGGCGGCAGCTGGCGAGTCCTCATATCGCGCGCGGCGGGCCTACACTGCCCTTGCATTCACGTAGTCACTCGTCATAAATGTGTGCTCAAACACACACACACACACACACACACACACACACACACACACACACACACACACACACACACACACACACACACACACACACACACACACACACACACACACACACACACACACACACACACACACACACACACACACACACACACATACACACACACACACACACACACACACACACACACACACACACACACACACACACACACACACACACACACACACACACACACACACACACACACACACACACACGCACCGATACATTGATGTGCTCATAATAAAAAACGGAGCAGTTTTATTAAAGTTCATGTTGCTGCATGGAGGAATTTCGTAAATGAGACATGCAAGTCCGTCCTGATGGATGGCTGAAGCTTTGATTTCACTTTGAATTTTATCACGTGCATGAAAAAAGCTGTAGTAAGGGGCCTGCCGCCATCGAAAAGCCCTAAAAACGTTGTAACACCACGCCCCAAGTTATCGATATAGGGCAGTGAAACTTGACAAACATTCAAGATGGCGGAGGCCGTCGTCTCGAGTTTTGACAAATACGCAAAGTTGCACAAGTAGCAACCACGCCCACTTGGCTCTCCTAGCTGCAAATAACATATCTCCGCGGTAAACCTTCGCGCTAGTTGACATTGCATGGTCTCATTTAGGAAGCAGGAGTGTGAAAAATCAGCTACTGGCATTTTCTGGCCACACCGATGCAGTCATATAAGCGTCATCCGATGGTTTCGATTAATCTTCGTCAAACAAACGTTACCCGGCATGTATTTTCATGTCGAACAGATGACGCAACGGGATGTCTTCGCAGGTATGCTGGTTCCGCAAATCGTCTCGGCGTCTGCTAACGGTCCAGGATAAGAGCTTCACGCAGGATGAGAGGGTCTACACGGACTTCAACACGTTCACAGACGTAAGGCCACAGCATGGCTGATGATAACAATGAAAGTGATGAAAGCGCCCCCCCCCCCCTCCCCACCCATTGGAAAGCTACACCTAGACAGCCTTGCTAAAATATATGCACAAAGTAAAGTATGCCCAAAGGGTAGCCCCTGAGAAACTTAGCGCTCCGTCGTGCACCACACGCTGATTCCCATGATTGATTTCGTCTCACTATACCCCTGCCCGGAGCGAAAACTTGACAAGTAGACAGGGACACAGCTCACCTGTAACCTGTCGCCTCCTCCATGTATGACTAACCATGTCGTGAACACTGCACATCTGTAGCGTCCCATCTCCGAGAATGGACAGCGCGATCTTGCAACGCTTTGATGCGCCCATAACTCCAGACGGGGCACCGCACATTAGTAACGTGTCGATTGCGTATAACTCCAGACGCGGCCATCGCACATTTGTAACGCGCCGATGTCGCTACAACCAAAGACGTGAACATTGCACTTTCGTGTTGATAACGTGTCGATGCGCCCGAAACTCCAAGCGTGGAAACTAAACACTCGTAACATATGTTACGCTCTACGGGGATGGCCGCTGCTCATCTGTAACGTGTTGATGCGTTCTTCACTTCAGACAAGAACGCTGCCTACCTGCGACGTGTTGAAGTGCTCTTTACTTCGGACTTGGACGCTGCCCACCTGTGATAGTTGATGTGCCCTGTGCGTATGGCATGGGCACTGCCCACCTGTAACGTGCTGATGTGTCGTTTATGTACTGCAGACTTGGACACTGCACATTCGCAACGTGACGGCCGGCGACTCGGGTGTTTACGCGTGCCAGCTGTCGGCCCACCCATGGGATCAGCTCCAGGTTCGCCTGAAGGTGGCAGGTCAGTGGAGGCCACGTGTCGGTCACATGACCAACACCGTTGTCAGTTCTGGCCACATCGTGCGTGCGGCCAAGCATCAGTGCTCATTACCATTCCTCGTGTTCATTTTAATGCCACGAAATTGATTGTAAATGAACTGTGGAGGAAGCGAGACGAAGCGCAGCGCCAATGAACGGTGCAAATGGGCCTCAGCGACGGCCCGTGTTGCTGTTGGGTCGGCGGGTACATGGGAGATTGAGCCGTGGAAAATCGGTCTCGTGCCGTGCAGGTAGGGTCCAAGCCGGCTACTTTTGCCATCCAAATGCAGAATAGTGCTAGGCGCCGTGAGGTAAAATAGCACTTGGGCCTTTTGCCTTCGGATGACACACTTGCAAATAGCACCAGATGTTGTGGGTGAATTAGTGGAATCGAAGGAGGAATTTAGCGATGGCATGTGCGTTAAGCGAAAAATACAACGTTTTGGATGCGTAACTGGCCGCCTAGAGTAAAGAGAACACGCTGGGCATGCATGGTTTAGTTCGCCTTTTCAAACATACGTTGGCATCTTTCGTCGCTGCCACCCGATGTTTGCACCCATATGGCTCGACGTAAGATTCTGATCATGGGAGAAGTGAAGAAGTAAAACAGTAAAATGAGATTAGCCCTTTGCTCATAGCGTTCGTCTAAAACAGGCATTGATTATATGCATATATGTATATATATATATATATATATATATATATATATATATATATAATATCTGAACATCCTTTTTCTCGGCAACCAAATAACGAGCTCACCGAGGAAGGACCAAGTCTGAAATACATGTATAGCTCATTCTTGTTTGCAGTCGAGCTCCATGAACATAAGTTTACCTTATTCTCCATTCACTTGCAGTATTGCGGGCGTTACCGCTGTCGATTTCAGTGTTGATTGCCTCGACACCCGACACGCAGCGTCCAGTGTGAGGCGCACACGGGAGCAAAGCTCCGCCATATGGCAGCCGACTGATGAGCTCGCTCCTTCCAGACCCGAAAAACACCAGACGAAAGAAAGAGGCCATTGTGCTGGTGAAGGACTACAACGAGCCCGGTTTCCGCCTGCCGAACGCTGAGCTGTGCCCGGGCAGCGGGAATGACGTCAAGCTGGTGATCATGGTGCAGAGCGCGCCGGCGCACACGAACATCCGCAGCGTCATCCGACACACGTGGGCGCGGCCGGCCATCTCACGCGACGACATCGTGCTAGCGTTCGTGGTGGCCGCCGTCGGAGACACGGTCGAGCAGCGCAACATCGACTACGAACAGTCACTGTACGGCGACCTCGTGCAGGCCAACTTCGTCGACCACTATAACAACCTGACGCTGAAGACGCTGGCCAGCCTCGAGTGGGTCGACAAGTACTGCCCGGACGCGCTGTTCACGCTCAAGGTCGACGACGACGTCTTTCTCAACGTGAACAACCTGATGAAGTTCGTCGAGCAGCACCACCAGCAGCGGCGCACCATCTTCGGGAACGTCGTGTTCAACCCGAAGCCGGATCGTAACAAGGAGTCGCGCTACTACGTCAGCCCCAAGATCTGGGACAAGACCAAGTACCCGCGCTACACAGGCGGGCCGCTCTACCTGATCAGCGGGGACAGCGTGCGCGGCCTCCGACAGCGCGTGCTGGAGCGCCCCTACTTCTTTATCGAGGACGTGCTCGTGACGGGCATCGGCGCTAAGCTGGCCGGCGTGCGGCGGCTGCGCGCGCCCGAGTTCTTCACCTACAGCGTGCCCACCTCCGACACATGCCTGCTACGCATGCTGGTGGGCGCCCACCAGATCCCTAGCAAGGAGCTGCCGGACATCTGGACGCGGCTGAACGACCGCACCATCCCGTGTCCGCACACGTACGCGCCGGACCTCTGGAAGCCATGCATTAACCTCAAGGCGCAGGAGAGCCTGAAGCACTGCGTGCTCTCGCTGTTCTCAACGTCCAAGAGCAAGTGATGCGGTGGCTAGCGCGCGTGCTGCTGAGTATGGGGGCGAAGAGTCCATTGCAGCTACTGAAGTGTCCGACCACGACTGTTCAGAACACGAGCTGTTCATGCCGTTTTAAATTGTTGGTTTGTTATTTCCCTTTTCGTCATGGCGTTGATTCGTAATACTGCAACTTATCTGGTGCTATGTGATACAGCACTTGCATTCCTTTGATTTCTGCTCATCAGTGATTCCTAGATCAGGGCTTTCCACAGGTGTTCGGTAGCTTTGTGTAAACTTAGCACTGTCGTATGCTCGTCTTGTATGCTCGTCGTCTGTTGCACATGCTCGCCTTGGTCATGTTCGTGTGGTACGGTGTTCCACGTGTTTAGCGTATTGCATAATGCTTTCCCCCGGCAAATATGTCCTAATGGGACATGTTTACCCTCGCTGGTGTGAGGCATTATAATCATATCGTTAGTTTTAAGGCAATCCGCGATATAAGGTGCAAAGAAACATATTAAATTGCTACGCCTATCCGTGATCACTGATCCTCCAAGAATTACCCACTTGTAACATCCGTTATAATTACCCCCACTCAAACGGTAAGGGAATGCGCGGCAAGGCCGAGCGTAGGGCAACTGCGTTCGCTCGGCTTCCAAAAGGGACACAATTTGGCCGGCGAATGCGAGGGCAGGGGGAGGGGTAGACCCTCACGAGACTGGAGTGGCTCGCCCCAGCGCGTCCAACACTCGGCACCGGCCGAGGCCAGGCTAAGAATGCGGCCGCGTGACCCGTGCAGCGGGGGAAGTGCACTGGCCGTGTCGGAACCCAGATTCCATCGCCGCCGATATGACGTGGGGCATGACTACTGTTGAGGCACTGCACCATGCCTAGGCATAAAGCAGAGCGTCGACTGCGCGCGTAGTATGTACATGACCATTATGGCTGGCCGCGTGTATTCGGCGTTGCAGGCCTGCTGCGCAGCCCGCCTAAAGCTAGATTTCAATGGGGGCCATCATCAGATGATACTTAATCTCTGGGGTCCTCGTATTGTTTGTCAGGGCTACCCGTCCAAAGCTCTCTGAGATGTTGAATTGACCTCAGGATTCCAGCGATTACAGCTAATGAAAATAATTTTTACTATTTAATGGCTATATCAGGCTAGCTTATGGCACCGTCACGATGGCTGAGCTGTCAACTTTAACGCTGGGTGCTTTACTCAACTTTGTTTGCCATTGGGCGGGGCGTTGAAAAGCAAGCAGATGCAGTGACTATTTCAGAAGCGAGCGGGATGCAACGTGGATGATCTTATAGTATCATTGAGCTATCCTGTATTGATAACTTCTTAACTATCGCTCTCTTCTCTTTGAGTGATGACATTTTCTTCGTTTGACGTTCTCTCCAGCTGCCAATGACTGCCTCCAGCCAGAAGGTCAAAGCTTTCCAAGGTGGAGACATGCGGTGACCAAGAATTCACAACATGGTTGCACACAGACCGGCATGATGTGCGGTTGTCTATTTTGTCTGGGAGTTACTGAAACACGCTCTTGACTTCAGGATCTGTTTGTTTAGAGTATGCTTTTGGCTCCCTCGGACCTAGGTTACATTGACGCAGTTTTTGATTTTCATATTGAGGTAAATCACTTGGCACGAAACTCATTATACTGATAAATTCACTATGGTTTAGACAGCGTTCTGCTGTCCGAAGTTTTGGTGTCAGCTTGTTAGCTGCACGTTAACCTAGATGACCTTGCGATTTGTACGATTGATGTGCAGCAGTAACCGCTTCACAAGAGCAAATACACCAGATTCTGAAATGCATTCTGCTTGATACAATTGCAGCTTGTTTTGAGGTAAGCAGAAAAAGATGTGACATCATTTTCAACTAAACTGTAGCTTCATTATAAAACAGTCAGTTGGTCACATTGCGTACATTGCGTATACTGGGACCCGCTGTTTGCCTTTTCTGGTGTAGGATTCTTCATTTGGCACTGCTCAGCCCCCGCCCCAAGAAATCTCATTTTGCGAAACTGCGTCCATAGCACTGTTGTATTTCCTTAATGCATTTGTCTACCATACCATCGGTCGAGCGTATTATGATTAGCATGTAGGCTGAACATCAGTGCGATTTGTTTTGCACTTTTCATATGCCTCCCTAGCCTAACACGCAATTGTCACCATCACGTCCCACCGACCTTGGGTCTTAATGGACTGAGCCCGTGCCCCGTATCGTTTGAACACTAGGATGACCGACTTCACGTCTCGCCACCCAGGTGACTCGAGTACGTACTTCGCCCAGTCGAGCAAGCGCCGACCAAACCAATCTGACATCCAGCTCAGACGATAAGATTGTCGACACTGGCGTTGTTGAACGTCCCTTGAAAGTCCGCTGCGCTGCGCGTCCGTGCCAAGTCTGTCAGACGTGCCCCCGTGAGCTGGACAACGGACAGTGGCCATGTGTCTGAGGATTGGCAGCCAGGCCTGTGCCGCGCGTGGCTGGCAGCCAGGTCCATGGTCCGATCCTATAGAGCCTGCACGGCGTGATTCCCGGATGGTGGCAGGGGATTCGAGTCCTCGTACCAGAGCACCACACCTCCCCGCTTCCCCTCCCCTAGCGATCCGGGCAAAGGTGCGGGGGTGGGGGGGGGGGGGAGACGCCTGGCATGGGCCGTCGAGCCAGTCGGGTCTAGGTCATCTAGGACGCGGACACTTCAGCCAGTGGCTAGTCGACATGCGCGCGGTACAGCCTCGCCACGTATTATTTCGGTCCGCCAGGTGTCGCCGGCACGGCTCAGCGACCCGAAACGGGCCTAGTCCCGGCGCGTGACGCCCGACGACTCTGGCGGCCGCACATGCTTGAACTGGACGCCCGTAGCTTCGGCACGTGCAGTGCGTCGGTCCAGCCGCGGGCGACCGCGTCGCGACATCCCCGCGCGCCGCTGCTGGTTAGGCCGCGCGGGGTCTGCAGTGACCGTGACCTCCAATCGGTGCCTCGGCTAGCTCTGGCCCCCTGACAGCCTGCTCCAGACCAGTTAGCCGGCGCGAGGTCGGTGAGCGTGCCATGCCGTGATGACGGTCGCCCCGCAGCCTCACCAGTCGCCGGGCTGCCTCGTCATCGAATACCGGCGGTGCTGCCATCTGGAGGACGGCTCCTGGGCCTGGCCTCAATATTTACGCTTTGACGTTCAGGCTCTACGACTTGGAGAGAGCCAAACTTTCTTCTGAATTCTCCAAGCATAAACTTGAGGACTATGAAGAAGCGGCATTTAAGTTGCTAAAGTCGTTGCGTATCCAGAATTGCTGGCTAATTTCGTCCTCAGATCTGCTAGCAAGCATGAGTAAACGATGCTGAAAGCGCATATAATTTCAACAAGCCTCGTTATTACGTCTTTAAAATGCTTGCAGGTCTTTTATTCAAACACAGATGCTCAGTAGCGACATACCTTACTTTAACACGATCTGTGTGTGCGTGGCACTGGCGAAGAAGCACAAATGACGTAAATCTGCAGAAAGGCGAACCTGAAGGCGGAACGTTCACGAGGAACATGTTGGCTGCATCAGACCTTGATGATGGCCTTTCCGGTGTTCTGGCCCTTCAGCATGCCCATGAAGGCCTGCGGCATCTTCTGGAAGCCGTCGGTGACGGTCTCCTGCACCTTGATCTTGCCGTCGCGTATCCAGGCAGCCATCTGCTGCACGGCTTCTGCACGGCGGTTCCACCAGCGCGACACGATGAAGCCCTCTATCTTCAGCTGCTTGAACACGATGGGCCCCTCCGGCACGGGCACCTGCGACTCCTGGCCGGTCTTGTCGTTGTAGCTGGAGATGGCGCCGCACGCGGAGATGCGGCCGAACAGGTTCATCTGCTGCCGCACGCGGTGGCTGAGCATGCCGCCCACGTTGTCAAAGTAGCAGTCCACGCCGTCGGGCGCCGCCGCCTTCAACGCCGCATCGATGTCGGCGCACGTCTTGTAGTTAATGGCTACATCGAAGCCGAGCGTCTTGAGCCAGCTGCACTTGGCGTCGGTGCCGGCGAAGCCGATGACTCGACAGCCTTTGATCTTGGCGATCTGGCCGACCAAGCTGCCGACGGCCCCAGCCGCGCCCGTCACCACCACTGTCTCCTTCGGCTTCGGCTGGCACAGCTCCAGGAAGCCGAAGTAGGCCGTGATGCCCGGCATGCCGCACGCGCCGAGCGCGTAGGACCGGGGCAAGGCCACCGAGGTCGGGCAGCAGCTCCGCGTCGCCGGGCGTCGCCACGTCCCCAATCTTCGTTACGGTTAGGGTCCGCCAGCCGAATGAGCCCACCACGTAGGAGCCCGTCGGGAACTTAGCGTTCTTGCTGTCCACCACCTTGGCGACCTGCGAGCCGATCATGGTGATGGGCGGGTTCATTCTGCGCGTGTAGGGGCGCATGTAGGGGTCGACGCTGAGGAACTCGGCCTGGCAGAGCAGCTCGTTCGGCTTCAGTCCCGGAAGCTCCTCCGACTCCAGCTTGAAGTCCGTCGACTTCGGGAAGCCGTCAAAGTGCCGCACCAGGGTGAACTTCTCGGCCTTCATGGTTCTCTGTGGGGAAGGAGTGTCAAATGCTCACCGAAGAAAGTATAGACATCTGTGCACGGATTTGGAGTGCGTTTTTAACGTTCCACGTTTGAGTGACCGTCACCTAGCTTCGCGGTGAAGTCGGTTGACTTCGGGAAGCCGTCAGAGTGAAGTCGGTCCAACATCGCGAATTGCTTCATTGGGAGTTTCAGCTTTGTTGAAAGTTGTTTGTAACGGCCCAGTGTATACCGAACATTGGCGCAGAAGCTCTTTTGATACGTTGGCAGTCGTGCCGTAATGAAACAGCATTATCTATCACATGTTGCATCAGCATTGCAATGAAGCAGCATCTATAATGATGCAGCACTATCTATGATGATGCATCATTATTTTTGATGATGCAGCATTATCTGTGATAATGCAGCATTATGATATGATTATCTATGTTTATTTCACAGAATGTGTCCTCTTGTTAAAACAGTTTAATGTGAATTCATTTGAAAACGAATTGGTTTATTTCCACACCATTGTCCGGTCCAATTACGCAAGAAATAAAACGGTAAGATCACTCCCAGTAAACTAATTGCATACACTAAAGACGTTATCAATGCGATGGTCAACATCTGAGATCACAAGGTCTTAGCAGGGAGATCGCATAAAAATGACATGGGTGGATTAGTTCCCTCCCCTTTTCTCTTAGCATACTTGCGCATGGAGAGAAGAAAAAACAAAGTGAGGAGCAAGCATTTATGTAGTCGAAATATTAAGAGAAGTTCGCTTACCACTCTATCTTCTCGAGGTATAAATGGACAGCCGGTGCAAAAATACATGACTTTACCAAATGATATATTTAAGTCAAGACTTCAATCGCAATATTTGCGCAGACAACACAACAATTACATTTACGACACTACATTTAAAGTTTTACAATCGCAATTTCATCACACAAAGCCATGTATCAACCAACCGTCGAATGCCCCTGCTTTTATGATGCCTCTGTAGCGAGCTGCCTTACTATAGGTCACGAGACCTATACATATATATTTAAACATAGACACAAGAGACTTTTTAAACTAAGATACATATATTTAAAAGACCGCCATTAAATAACAGCTGGGCATGCAAACAATACTGGACAGAATGTCAGTAACTGAGCATCCAAATAATTTGGCTGCAGTTGCACGTGTTTTGTACTTGTGGTGTTCCACCTGATTTGAACGGAGCAGTGTACCATCCGGTCTATCACCGGTCTCGTTAGACCTCCACTGACCTGGTTCTAACCCACTAGCATATGAACGGAGGATGCAGTTAACTGAAAAGACGACAGCAGATATGTGTCCAAGACTTACCGACTGACGGCGGTGACTGTGGCGTAGACGACCGGTGCTGCTCGCCGCCCTTCGAAGAGTGACGACCTGTCCAGCTCGCCGGGCCTTGATACGCGGCCGGCCGCCCACTCAGGACTGCCTGTACTATAGACCTCATCCGTCACTACGTTTACTGCCGTTGACCTTGGGCCCGCAGAGGCATGACGCTGATAACGGGCGTCTCGAATACAAATGCCGGGAGGCTCACAGCACAAACCTATCCAGCAGATGATTATCAAACAATATTTCGGTGTTTACGCTATATATTCTCGACCTTTACCGATCGCCGCTTACTCCGCCATCTAGCGGATTGTTGCCGTGCCACCGCAAGTCACCGTGATTAAGATTGGGCCAATGTGAAAGTCATCTGCGTGTCCGAGACTGCCCAGTCAGCACAGCTTGGCAAACACCGTGACGGCGGCCCTAGAGGCAAGACATGAGTTTACACAGCGCAAGGACATAGCTCGCCTCTGCATCCCAAGAGTATGCGTGACATTACAGAAGGCAGCTTGGAGTAAGAAAGAAAGGTCTTCAGCTCCTGGTTCCGCGGTGTATAAGTTTAAAGCTCTTGTGAAGAGTTAACGACCTTAGATATACCAGTCAGTGCTGTTTAAACGACGCTGCAGTGCTAAATATAGATAACACTGACGGTATTTGAAAGAAAGTCCCCGGAGTATCGCCAATATAGCCGTTACTCTGCACTACAACGTCGTTTAACCAGCGCCTCCCGTCATATTGAAGGTCGTGAACCCTATACGAGAACTTTGAACTTATGATTACGGAAAATCCTTCGAAAAACTTCAATATTTGCAGAGTGGATGCTCAAGGAAGGTTTGGTACCACGCTGCAATGGTTTTTGTCCACCCACACGATGCTTAATTACAGCTTGCTCGTAGGCATGTACAATATGTAAGTTCGGGCTCTGGTTCATTACCAGTATTCATCATGGGACTACCCATCTGTTCTGATATTTTAAATCCAATGACTTTTCATCTTCCCCTGTCAGCGGTATAGAAACAGGCAGTGGTACAGGAGAAAATGTGTCATCTGGGAAAGAGTTCAAGGTGCTGGTCGCACAATAACAGACTCGTTACTTCCCCCTCCCAGTTCGGATTCTGAATGCGTCCAGTTTGTGGTCCTGCCTAGTGCTCTTTCGTCGAGTGAGTAGTCGCTCACTGAAGTGCCGCACCAGGTCATTCGGCTCCTCGCACGCCACGGTTCGCCTCAGCAGGCGGACTTAATGACATGCTGCACAGTCCTGGACCAATCACGTAACAACGACCGGCGAAGCCTTACTGGGACGACAGCTCCAGGACGTCAGTTACTGTCGAGCTGACAGCCAGGCACGGCGGTCGTACCGCATGCGGAGAACCAAGCATCACTTGAATGATGCCGTGTGCCTTACTGATGGCAAGCATGGGCGCAGAAATGGCCTTTGTTAGGGGGGGGGGGGACGTTCACTTGACCTGTGGGATTTTTAGCTAGCAACTAGATTTGGAACCTTATGTTTGCCGTAATAGACCCGAATAAAAATTTACAGTACCGCAAACTGGCGCTGGAACCTGGTGCTTAACCTGGAAGAGTTAAGGTTAAGTCTCTATTTTTAATGTTGCTGTTACTGTTAATCTATTCAGAGCACAACTTCAAAATAATGAAGGTGATACAGTCGCCACAGTCCCATCTTTGAATGGTATGAGTTCATTTTGAAACTTCCGGAATATTTTTTCACGTCATCTCTGCGCACCCGGAGCCCGTCGCCTTGTGATATTTGCAGAGGCCAACGCCCTTCAGTTTTATGGAAACCACAACCACGGCCATCAGCGTCTTGTACGTGAGATTGCAAGCCCGCAGGCTCAAATTTTTAAAAAGTAATTTGTTTCATTAGTTGATTCTGCAAAAAGGCGGACATCCCCAAGCAAACGTGGGTTGGTCTTTTTTATTTTTGACCATGTTTTGATCCATTTTTCAACAATAATGAGCCCCATTTCTTTTTCCGATCGAGAAGCCCTGCGGGCAGAACACTACGGGATGCATAATCGTTCACGGCCAATGGCTTAACGGCTATTCCATCCCAGCGTGGGATGACTACCGGCTGCCATTCTTGCCACATGGGGTCGGGATCCCCGATCGATACGGAGATCCTAAGACATATACATCATTCATCGGTTCCCTCCCTGGCGCGGGAAGCCGTCTGACCGTACCAACGGGCCCCAAAACAACGGTGGAGCCCTTACTGATCCCTTAACAAGATTCGTTATCGCCGAAGGTGACCCGATACTTGGAACAGAAACTTCTTTTCACCTTAATGGGTCTATGGTTGAAATTATTTGGAGACCCTTCCTTTCTGTGCTGCGGGCCCTGGCCGTCACAGGGGGCCCTCATTGTTGCAGGGGCCCTGTGCAATGCAGATCGTAAGCCCCGACCTCATTCCTTCTTGGCAAATGGGCCACCAGGGCTCAGACGGACGCGGAGCAGTGTCAGTGATCCCTGAGTAAACTCAGGCCCAGATTGTGCCAGGGCCCTTATCGGTGTACGAGGCGCTCTGACGGGCATTAGAGGCCACGGTCCTACAAACGGAGGCTCTTATCTAACCTACAGCCATCTTTTTGGGCACTTGACCTTCCCAGCTGCGCCCATGATCGTTGGTCCAAGAGTCCCTCGGAGTTCGGATTCCTTTTTGGACCCCTCGAACACGGCCCTTGGCCGACTCGGGACCACTTGCCGACATAGGGCTCCCTGTTAGAAACTCGGCCTCTGACCAACACACGAACCCCTCATTGTTTCAGCGGTCCCGCCTCAATGCAAATCGCGGGCCCTGGCCTTGTTCCTACTCAGGAAATGGGCCTCATGAGCCAACTGTTTGCTGTTGGTAGTCTCTGGCCGAATAAAGACCCGCATTGTCGCAAAGGATTTTCAGTCAGTGCAAGAGGCCTCTAACCATTGGAGTCACGACTCTACAGGCCGAGATCATTAGGTTGACCTACAGCCACCATTTCAGGCCCCTCGGACGCTGCATCCCATCCATTGACTAGTCCTTAACCGTTGGGCTCCTCTTCCGGCCCCCTCAAATACCCCCCAGGCCCACTCGAACCCCTTCCCAACACAGGGTCTTCTCCACAGGTAGGCACTGTGAGTCCCAGGCTGACACAGGGTGTCCCTCGTTGAGTTCGGGGGCCCGACCGATGAAAATCACGGGTTCTGGCCTTGTCCCTGCTTGGAAGATGGGCCCTTGGGCCCAGACCGACATGGAGCGAACTGTTTTGCACTGGTCGACCCTATAACTGGCATTTAAGAGCCCAGCTATTCGGGCTGGATCTCTTAATGCGACCCCGGCCAGCCCTTCGGGCCCTCAATCGTCAGTGGACCTTAGGAGGGGAGGGGAGGGGGGCACAGCCCCTTCCTCTGCCTGCGCCACTGATGATAAAGGATGGACTCAATATTACGCCTCACGGTTCCACCGTATACTGGTTTTGCCAGATAATCTCCGAAATTCCCAGATCTCTGTTAGAAGCTCGGCAAAACAATACGCATACCAATCATGCGAGACCTGCATAGGACAGACAACGAGGGACACGCATAACTAAGCGTGGGGGGCATTCTTCATAACAGCACGTTAAGACTGCGCCATGTTTCTGCAATACATTCTTTTCTCACGGCGAAGCAGCTCTGATTTAGATTTCAGCGCGTCCTTCAATGATTTTGCAGTTAGGGCGGAAGCGACTATTCCAGCTTATCGTCAGCCGCAACGTTATGCACACCCGCTTAAGATGGAAATTTGGATGTATGGAAATCATTCCAAAGTACGGTGTGCTCATGTCCTCAATTTGACCACGTGAGGTACAGTTGGCAACACATTTCACCTCGCATATATTTCCAAATATCGCCCACATGTCAATTTCCTACCGGAAATCGCTGGCATTGCACTTCCCGCTGAGTTTGTCAATGACTACGTGAAACAGCTTCCCTAGCCTCGAGCCTCAACTGGGAGTCAAATCCCGATCAACCGGTTCGAATATGGAGATTCGACCTCAAACATTGGCTGGTTTGAGTTAAAAGGTGACATCAATGTGAAACGTCACTTAGTGTGCGTGCATTCGGGACGCCTTCCTGTCAAGCCAGCAATTTACCAATCATTTCCGTTTTTTTGTATTACACGAACTTCAATGCAAGCCGCGTAACGGTGCGTCACGGACAGCAATCGTACACAGACAAAGACACGGCAAAAATGCAAAATGTTCGTGACCATTTGCACATCACGACGAGAAATCCTTTTACAGCATCACTCCTTTCATCACAACCATCACCATTATACGGGCGCATACCAAGAACGGATTCAGGCAGCGCACTAGCGAGATGCACTCACTTTTCAGCCGGATCATCATTTCAAATCGGATCATAGTTCGGGTTTGATTTCAATCATATGTCAGCAGGATCGTGCGACAAGCAAACTTACTCCCTGCACCTTGCCATCATTACGGTAAGCGCGTCCCTAAAATCCCTCGCGCGAATCGGTCCGCACATTTGTATCGTGTGTTGCTAAATTTGAACCAGAAGTCATCGCGCTTGTATCAGAAGTAATATTTCGATTTCAGAACATGGCCCCTCTTGACGTGCTTGGAAGGCGCCTGCCATGTTCCGGACGCACGATTGACAAGCGAAGCCACAACTGCTCCCGAACCTTCACTCGAGGAGGAAACTGAGGTCAGCAGAAGACGCGAACTCCACAGGTTCCGCCTTGGGCTTGAACAGTTTGGCCCCAGACGAACCCTTCAGGACAGCTTTGTTGCCGTGGACGTACAGGCAGCTGCCCTCTCGCAGACCCAGCACGGGAGGCCTGTCGGCGTACATGTGGTACTCGTTGATCCTCTTTTCTCGCGTCTCCCCCTTGTGCGTGGAGTTTGGTTCCGGGTCAATGTAGTGCGGGTTGATGTTGAAGGGCACCAGCCCCAGCGCGTCGAAGGTCGGCGGGTACACGATCGGCATGTCGTTTGTGGTGCAGATGCTCACAGTTGCCACGTTAGTTCCGGCACTGGAGCCAATGTAGGGAACACCTTCCTCCAGCACACGCTTGCGAATGACGTCAACCAGACCGTGGTCGTACAGTGATTTCAGCAGGCGAAAAGTGTTTCCTCCTCCAATGTAAATCGCCTGAGCGCGCTCCACCGCCTGGACCGGGTTCTCTAGCTCGTGGATCCCGTCCACTTCGTAGCCCAGTTGTTTCAGCTTGTTTCTCGGCGCCGATGTGTATTCATCGTAGTCGAAAAGTGCGTAAGGAATGAACAGCACTCTGGTAACCTCCTTGCCGAGATATTCGCTCACAATATCACTACACCAGCCCATGAAACCTTCTGTTCCATGGCACACAGAGCTTGAAAGAAGCAGCAGCCTCCTCATCAGTGCAACTTCCTTGAGACAAGTTCTGCTGTAAAAAGGGTCCAACAAAACCTGAAAAACAAAACAAATTAGCACATGTAGTTAAATACCCCACATTCCTGACAGCATACCGCTACTGCCAACAAAAGCTGAAACCACGCAGTTGGTCTTTTTTAATTTTGCTACAAACTTCCTCATCCTATTATCTCTGCCATCATAACCCACTGCAATCAGCATTTGTGTGCACACTGACCCCACTGTGAAATTCCATTTCAAAGGCCTTATGTTGTGGTGAAAGTTTTACATACTACAACCTACCACAATATGCAGGTGAAGAGAAGTCAAGAGAACTTTAGTGGCTTCTTAACACATTTAACAGCTATATCTATGGCAAACATACAATTTAGAATGGCAAAATGTTATGAAGGTAACCGAGGCTGGTACTGCATATGCTAGCAAATATTTGATCTGGTTATGAGTCTAGCAGCTGGCAGAATGTGCAGTCTATTACTGCATGAATAACTTGCATGAGGTCACAAATAGCTGGTACAGATGTCACAGTTGTGGAGAGGGGCACAGAAAATGAGCCATGAAACCCACAATTTCTTTGACCACTATTTACTGTCATCCATGAGCAGAATGATGAATCATGGATATTTTAGGGAATTTGAACTATGTTACTGAGTATTGGATTTTTCAACACAACACAACACATCTGGGTGCTGTAGAAAAATTGGATCCAGAAAATATTTATGCACTTACATTAACAATGATATTTTGAGAAGTTTCACAACTCCTATCATCTGTTTCCCATTGACAGTGAATGCCAAATAAATTGATCAATTTCAATTGGTTCTAATCGGTGACTGCGGCTGATACAAAGGGCAGCAATGCACCCGATGTCACCCTGACTTTTCATGAAAAGTGGCCGTGCTATGTCTTAAAATTGCTTGAGGGACACAGTTGAAAAGATTGACCTAACCTACCCATAAAGCATTATTTCTATCCGCACTTCTGCCACTTGAATCACGTTGAATCATCACCACTTGATGTGAGAGCAGGAAAACCCTTTTGTGATATTTTGTACATTCCAAATTATTTCCTGCAGCAATTATTTTTCTACTTGCTTTTTCAAGTTAACAAAAGTTGCCTTTTTCTGAAAATATTATAGTGTGGTGCAATTATCAGCAAATCATATTCATGAATCTGAATAAGGGATCTCTGATGACTACACCCCATTTCTGATTGTGTTGTATAACCACCATAGCATTGACCATAGCCAAGATCATACAAAATACTGTATATGATACAAATATGCTTGCTACTGTTGGGGAAACATGGGTGAAGTTTTACTAGACTGCCTTTTACTCTAAAAAGCTGCTGCATATTGCAGTTGATCATTCTTCATCCCAATCTGGACTTCATCATCTCAAAACATTGTCAAACTTTCCCAGAATGGCTTAGCATAGAAAGGAGTTTCATGACAAAAATATGGCGCAGCTTCATACAGACGGCACGGACAGGCTTTTGTAGTTCATGTGTTTCAACAGCATGTAAGCACTCTATTATTAAGTTGCATATTCCATTTAGAGTTAATGGCCCGAAATATTTTCGATTCAACGACGCATTTATCACCTCAGGTCACTTACCACGTCCTAAAACAAACAGCTCTGATCAGCCTTGGTTGCAAAATATCAGTGCCCCGGCATCTAGCACCCTTGCCCGGTATGGTATTCACCTGCCTTGTCTGTCTTCAAAGCGCTCCACGCATTGCCTTACGTGCATTCACATCATGTGACGCATCTGTTGCGCTTTTGCGACAGTGGTCAGGTGGCTTCTTTTTTCTCTTCCTTTTTACTACTCAGGCTTAGTTCGAAAAAGACAAGTTGCAGATTGTGACCATCTGACCGATTCCAGGGCGCGGGAACGATGTTCGGGTTGGAGGGAGGATGTTAAACTCCAAAATACCAAGGTAGGCCCCTAGAATTGGAAAGAAGGCCTCTACAAACCGAAACGAGCCCTCAAAGTCATAGATGGGTCCTTTACAAGTTAGAATGAACGCACTGCAAGTTAGAATGGGACCTCTATGACTGAGAATAGGCCCTTGCTGTGATAGAACGGACTCTAAACAGGTCAGAGCGGGACCACTGCGGGCCTGAATGAGCCTCTCTACAGCAAGTCAGCGTGGTCCCTCCATAGCCGACAATATGCCCTCTAGATGTCAGCATGGGTCTTCTACATGCACAGAATATACTCCTACATGCCAGAATGTGTCCTCTAGATGTCAGAATGGGTCCCGTACCGGCCAGAATAGATCCTCTTCAGACCAGAACGATGAGAACTGGATTCAATAATGAGCTCTCTGCGAGCCGAAATGGCGCCTGTACAGGTTAAAATGAGCCCTCTACAGGCTCGTAAGCAGGGGCGGATTCAGGACTTCGTCAAGAGGGGGAGCACGCAACATTGTGGGGCGCCCTGGAGTTTGGGGCACCCTCCAAAAAATATCCTTGCATTTTGGTTATTACATTTTAAGACATGTTGTATGTAACACACACACACACACGCACACACACACACACACACACACACACACACACACACACACACACACACACACACACACACACACACACACACACATATATATATATATATATATATATATATATATATATATATATATATATATATATATATGTAGGTACGTGTATATGCATATATGTTTGTACTCATTCGTCTATTTCATAAATACGGAAACCCATCTTGCTGTGCACGGCCTTATAAAGCTAGACGTGCTACGCATGCATACACTCCTTTTCTACAGGTCATGTTAAATGCTGTGATTTTGAGGCTAGGTATTTCGGAGCAACAGGCAAAATAAACTTGAGTTAGCTGCTATCAACCATCAAAACCAAGCATGGACTTGATTCCTGGCTTATGCCTTTACGGCTAGCCGGCTGGGCGATGTAATCAGTGGATGGCTGATCACTAGTGCATAACTTTTCCTACGTTTTAAAGGAGTACAACATGTCCCAACATTCGAAATATGTTAAGAACGTGATGCACTAATATAATACGTGCCAAGACTCTCAACAGCTAATGAATATAGCACATACGACGTCGGCGGCATGTAGAATTACGTTCGACAATTACGCGTAAGAATTCATCGGCGCATAGTCGGCCGCTGTTCTGGGGCGAAGGCACCAATGCCAATAGGGACGAAACCTGAGCGATCATGGGTACTGCAGGAGACCAATAAAGCGGCTCCCGTCAACAAGCATAGGGTCTGCAGAGCCCCATGTAGAGAGCCCCCCGAATGAACGAGTGTGTCCGAGCAGGTTAACAGATAAGGTTCCCAAAAAGGGCGTAGAGTCATCCGTTCAAATAGGAAGTAATTAAGACCCAATGCAGAGGACCCCCGAATGATCCAGTCCGTCAGAGCAGGTCAGCATATAAGCCCCCATAGTCAAGAGCGTGGGGTCCTCCATTCAAATGGGAAGTACCCAAAACCCAATGAAGAGCGCCCCCGAATAACAGTGTGCCCGAGCACGTTGACAAATAGGACTCCCAACAAGAGCACAGGGCCCTCCATTCGAATGGGAAGCACCGAAGACCTTATGTGAACTGCCCCAGAATGACAGGGTGTGTCCGGGCAGCACACCAGAAGGGGCCCGAGAAGAGCGCAGGAGCCTCCATTTAAATCAGAAGCACCCAAAACCCAGTGCGGAGGGTCGCCGAAAGATGGAGTATACACCAGCAGCTTATCAGGTGGCCCAGACAGGAGTGTAGGGTCCTACAATACACCAACACCCGATATGCAGGGCCCCCGGACAATTCAGTGTGGCCGAAGCGGCGAACAGATGGGATCCCCGACAAGTACGTAGGGCCCTCCATTCAGATGGGAAGTGCCCAAGCACTATGTGGAGAGCCCCCAGATATTCGAGTGTACCCGAACAGGTTAACAAGTGGGTCCCCGGTAAGAGCGTACGTTCCTATACGTTCATCTTATAACAGAAGGGGCCCCGACATGAGCGTAATGCCCTCCATTTAAATAAGAAGTACCTAAAACCCGGCGCGGAGGGCCCCAAAAGATGGAGTGTACCCGAACAGATTATCAGATGACCCCGATAGAAGCAGAGGGCCCTAAATTCAAACACTAAGAACCAATTTGCAGGCCCCCCGAGCAATCCAGTGTCGCCGAGGAGGCGAACAGAGGAGCCCCCAGACAAGTATGCAGGGCCTCATTCAAATAACACGTGCCCAAGGCCCAATGAAGAGGGCCCCCGAACGATTGAATGTGCCCGAGCAGGTTATCAGATAGCCTCCCCCCAAAAAAAAGCGTAGCCCCCCCCCCCCCACTAAGTAAAGAAGCATAGCTGCACAGTCTTGTGCACCGGCCGGCACGTAGTGAAGTGCGACCGCCTGATGTACGCTGCTGCCGATACAGCCCAGGGCCCTCCGAGCAAATGCAAAGAAATAAAGGCAACGTGGAATGCTCCTTAACTACCGAAATGATCCTGCAAGTGTATGTGTAGGGCTCCCAGAAACAGCATGGGGCCCCTATACAGTGTAATGAGGCTTAAATTTCCAGTTTACAACTTTTCCAATCATTCAGTAATTGTTTTTTACCTCTCAAAACGCCCTTCACTTTCGCTTACAACTGTTCTTGGTCGTCTGGAATTCTAGAAATATATAGTTCTGTTGCGTTTTGTGTTAAAAAACTGTACCTGTTCGGCCGGCGATGGGCCCCCTCGGAGCCAATGGGCTCCTTCGGGGCCCGGGGGGGTCATGGCCCCGTGCCGCCCCCCCCCCCCCTTAGATCCGCCCTTGCTCGTAAGTGCCCTCGTTTGGTCAGAATGGATTCTAAATAGCTCAGAATGAGTCCTCGACAAGTCAGAGAGGGATTTTTAAGGCTTGCGTTATTTTTTTTTACACTTCAGAATCGGCCCTTAACACACCAAAATTGGACCGGCCGTCCAAGCTTGGAGTCGTCCCGTAGCTTTTAAGTTTAGGGGCGAGCTGTGCCCATTGCCAATCCCCTTGTTCCCACAACCTTGAACGGGTGTGACCAAGGCCAATGTGACTAAAAAATTAAGGCCCCTAGCACCCTAGCAGGGATGTTCGTCCTCAAAAATCGCTTACCCTATCGATTTGGAGCATTGATTAATGAATTCAGCGCGATGAAACAAGTATGAAGGTGACAGATGAATGACCTAACCCGGTTTGAAAGCTTAAAGGCCGTAAAAAAACGAAAAAGAAAAACCTTCACGTGCAAAGGTGGGTCTCAGAACCTAGAGAGCCGCAGAGCCTTCACCATTCCATGCACCAACTAGCTTTTCACTTGTAGTTCCGCCTTTGGTGACCCTATCAGAGTTGTCATTTAACATGCTCTCGTGGGCCCAAGCCCGATCCCGTAACCATAATGCTGATAGCACGCAACGCCAGCCTTCAAGTCAAAGCCTACCTCAAGCCCGAAGGAATGGAAGTTAGAACGAAGTCAGCAGAAAGGAAGTCAAGGGCAAAATCAAATCGATCAAAACGTCAACATGCGTGGAAGTAAAAGGTACGCTTGGTTCCTGTCGTAATTGAGGTAGATTATCCTTCCCTCTGCTGACCGCGCACGCCGGCTCCGGTGTGACGTCCCGTTACGTCCCGCGCCACTGACCACTGCCGCTAGCCTACCGTGCGGCGCCATGTGGTGCCTGCTGCGTGATCGCTATATGGCGTTTTGTAGTGTGCGTGAATGTGTATGTGTATACATAGTTTGCGTGATGTAGCAAAGCATCATGCTACCGTCTTGGTGTTGATAAACTAGTTCTGTTAAGTTGGAACAAATGGAAAAACTAGCTCGTGGTTATTTCGACGAACCCGAATGCCGAATAAATATCGCTTAAAAAATTCTCTCAAAAGAAAGACCTCTGTTTCGTGTCGCAATGCAAGCTTTATGTGCATTGTTACTTTGTTGATGTGCTATAAACTTATAAGAACACAATACTGCAAAGTTAGTTATATCTATCGAGTGTTAAAGGGAATGTTCGACATTTGTATAGAGTGTTCAACCAAAATGGCCATCTGGAAGATCCCTTGGTGGATTCCACAGCCCTGACCCTCTTAAGACCTACACTCATGTAGGTTCTGAGCTATACGCCAACGAACATGTGCAGACTATGTCATGCAGACTATATCAAGGCCATCTTGACATTCACTACGTCGTAATAACGTTATTCGAATTCTGCCGTTCCATTGGCCATCCAGCGATCAAGGCCAATGAAGGTATAATTGTGAAGTTGTTCATATCTGCTGTTTGTGAGCACGATTTCTAAATATAACGACCGTTAACTGGCTGTCAGCCAATGTTGTACAGGGTGCGATAACGTATCAAACAACGACGTATTGAGTAGCATATTCACTTAATAGAGAAAATATGTTGTTTAGTCATGAGTGACCTCATTTCATCACACCTGAAATCACACCATCACACCATTACGCCTGAAGGGCGCGTCAACTTCGTTGGCTATTTGCTCCCAGCACGGAATAATCACCCCGCTCGCCGCGTAATGCGAAAGCTAAGATTTGAGGGCCGAACATGGGACTTGACTAAACCTATTCTAAAAATACGGGCAAAACAAATGTCTCCCAAATGTCTCCCAAATGCCACGAACAGCTGACGTGCATCGGCGCAGGTTGATTGGGTCTCATTTGCCCTGTGTATCAATATCTGCTACGTTTGATAGCTAGTCGGTCATTTTGTGGAAAAATCTGTTTCGATCTTTTAGATAAAGTCCTCGTATATCCATCAGGAGATGTTACCACGAAAACAGCAGTCGACTGTTACGTAAATCTGTTAAGAATATGCTGCTTAGCAGACTGGTCTGAACTGACCCAAAGTGCCGTAAAAAAAATATTCTGTACACCAGCCTCTGCGTCAGTACGGAATCAAGCTTTACTAGAAATAAGCTTCATGAATACATATACCTTCTGACCCACGCTACGGCTAGAGTGCAAAATAGAAAAACATCGGATATTTTACGTGATATGCTTTAAAAATGCTTGAGTTCAGGCCTTCAGTCACATATCGACCATGTCTGGACTACATCCGTAACAATAGCCAGAGATGTATTTTCCAAATCAGATTGGGTGTGACGTGGAAGCTCCAGCCTCTCAATCATGATGAAAAGGCAGCCCAAAAACTGTGAGAAAGACGCTTCTTGCGCATTTTTGGGTCCCTGTAGCTACTTCCCTTCACCCGCGAGACATTTTGCAAAACTATGCCCACGGACGATGTGGCCAGATTGTCAAAGAGCAGTGAGTAACATTGCCATCTTGAAAAACGCGATTCTTTAAAGCGTGCCTCAAAATCCCGTTCCTAGAGTGAATTCTGGGTTAGTTTATTTTGGAAAAGGTAACCAATTTTCAGAAATCTAGCTGCAGCGATGTGGAAGGCGGCTGCAGGAAAACAGCCCTGGGTGGAGGACTGATATGACTAACATATGCTGACACGGTCGAGGTTTTTTCATGGACGTCCAAAAGAGAGAAATGGTAACTTTAAAAAACTCGAGGCATGCACCAACACGGCATGTGTTCCCCAGTGGCGAGGCCAATGCTCTCTAAGCTTGAGTTAATCCAAATTGATCACAACGAATCCGATGCACGCATTCATCGTCGCCATCTCATTTATCGCAGGTCTGATGTTTAGTTCTGTGTAGGACAGGCCAAAAAAAAAAAACAATCTCATGCTGTCCGTCACTCCCCTGATATTGGTCGCCTGCCACCGCCCCTGGCTTGGGCTGGGCCGCGACACCGGGTCAGGTCAGAGGTCAGTCGGCCGGACCGCGGCCGGGCGATGGCCGGCGCGGCGCGAGTGCTAGCGGCGCTGCTGACGCTGGCCGGGGCTGCAGCGCAGTACAGCCGGCCGACGCTCGAGCTGTTCGGTCCGCCGCCCCAGGCCCGCTGCCGCTGCGTCCACGCGCGCTTCTGCCCGGCCCTGTCCATCACGGTAGGACTGTGCTGCCGCGGTCGGTACGTGCTAGAGTGTCCTCGGAGGATCCATGAGGTGTAGTAGTGGAAAGGAGGAGAGAGACGTGTAGTCGATTATACGGTGTGTATAAACAACTACGACTAAGTTTGTGCTGGTCATTCGAAAATCCCAAGCAAGGATAACCCATGCGCTATTGTAAGACCAAAACACATTTATTTAAACAAATCATCCTTAGACCTCTTTTCTCATAGATGGACTGGGTTTGAGCGCACCTTCATATTTAAAATGAAATGAAGCGCATGTGGCAAACACGGCCGCATAACCAGTAAAGTTTTTGTCCCCGTGCACGTTTAAATTTGTCAGGTATGTGCTTGGTTGATTGTTTTCTATCTTCGTGGCAACCTTCTTTGTTCCCCTGTGGTGGCCGCTGCTGCCAGGCTGTGAAACCGCTCCGCACGGGGCCGTGCCTAACCCACGCGGCGGCGCCAGGCGTCGGCGGGCGGCTGCGCCAGGCCGGGCCAGGTATGCTGCGCGACGCGGGAGGTCGGCGCGGCCGGCACCGGGCTCCCGGAGTGTGGCCGACCGGCGTGGCCTGGCGCTGGGCCGCGCTGGACGGCGGCCGTGGCGCGTCGCGATCCGGACGGCTTGCTGTACCGCTGCGCCGGCGCACTCGTCACCAGCGCCCACGTCATCAGCGTGGCACACTGCGTCGAAGGGTGAGCTGCGCCTGGTGAGGCCGCGGCGGCCGCACCGACACGAGCTGGGCGGACGTCCCCGCTGCCCGTGACCGTTGATGTCACCGCCGCCCGTGGCTACTGGCGTCACCGCCGCCCGTGGCTACTGGCGTCACCGCCGCCCGTGACCACTGACCTCACCGCCGCCCGAGACCACTGACCTCACCTCCGCCCATGACTGCGTACGTCACCGCTGCCCGTGGCTGCTGGTATCACCGCCGCCCGTGACCACTGACCTCACCGCTGCCCGTGACCGCTGACGTCGCCGCTGTCCATGACCGCTGACGTCGCCGCTGTGCGTGAACGCTGACGTCACTACTGCCCGTGACCACTGACGTCAACACTGCCAGTGACCGCTGACGTCAACGTTGTCCGTGACAGCTGACGTCACTGCCGTCCGTGACATCTCCGTGCGTGCAGACGACCAATATTCGGCCTCATCATGTTGTGGCGGTCTCATGCACAGAATGATGGTGATTGCCAGCAGA